ATCGAATTGCATTCAATAGTCATCAATATAAATCTAGCAGACGTTTTAACATTATAAAACTTTGTGATTGAAGTTAAATCCCAAGAGAAAGTATTATATACAAGTTGGCTTCTGACTAACTTATTGATAGACGATCAAAATTCATGTACATAAGTTAACTTATGACTATTATCTAATCCCTGACAAACATGGCGATGGTGGTACATTTTTAAAATAATTGGTGCGACGGTTTCGTAAACTTCTTGATCAAGTAGATGAAGATATCATTTTTGTTAACCCAATAAAAGAGTCTGGCCGCCTGACTTGCGTCCAATAGTGCATACTTCATCTTTTACCATAAAAAGTTTTTATTATTTGCAAGATCGAGATTTATTCTTCAATATTTTGTAATAATGCTGCATATCACTATCCAGATTCAAATTCTTTTTAATTATAAATTGTAAAAAATATAATGCTGCATATCACTATCAAGATTCAAATATGATAGAAACTGCATGTTTGAGTTATTGATGCGGTTGTTTCCTTTTATATTTCTTTTTTTGTTAAAGAAGATAGCGTATTGAAGTATACACAAACTACGTAGATGCATAATCACAAGGCACAACCGTACAATAAAATTTATACGGTACCATAGACATTATGCAAGCAGATACATACGTAGATTCGTATAGATGCATAAACACAACGGCCAACGCACACGGCACACCATGAAAATAGTCACCATGATAAATGCAAGTTACTTTTTAAATTCTTTTTTTGGGCAAAAAGCGTTCATAAACACATAGCTTTTCCTTTTAGTTCTAGCGTGGTGAAACAATAGTTTGTTTAACACTTCTTAGGAAAAAATATATAGAATGATGCGTAAAGCATCATATCTAATATCAATATTTTTGACTTTTTGGAACAAATTTTACATTAAAAGAATGTTAAAATGTTGTTACTTACATTAGTTAGCCCTCTGACTATGAACAAATGTTTAATTTTGCAATCCACAAATTTTTGGTTAATTTGATGAATGACTAGATCGAGAAAAATATTGGATATGTAGCAAGAGATAGAAAGAGAAAAGAAGAGAGAGAGAGAGAGAGAGAGAGAGAGAGAGAGAGAGAGAGAGAGAGAGATATGGTTAAATATAGTCTATTGGATTATATGATCAAATTTCTCAATTTTCTGCAGTTTCTTGGAGATTTTTAAACATCATGGACGTTCCAATAGAAGATTTAGTTTAATTCTTAGTAGAATCTGTTATAGTTCAACAGACAACATCAACCAACATCAGAGCTTTTGAGCTGCTTGGCTCCAACTACAAGTGTAATATTTCTTTCATTGGAAACAAGCTCAACAAGTCACAATCCAACGAAATGCAAAATTTAAACGAAGTATAATATTGTTGTTTTTTTTGTCGACAGCTCTGTAGATACTTTTCATGATTACAGTAACGAAATTAAAACAATTACTGCAGGAAAAAATAAAATAACATATATATATATATAACGCACATGAGTCTTGAGTCGCCCAAGAGAAAAGTAGGGAGCAGCCACGACCGGAGTCTTTGTTCGCACTTTGGTCAACGTTTTCAAGAAGATAGGGAGAGTGTGAGACATTCTTGTGGACTATTACCTTGCAGCAACAAGTAACTAATCTAATAAAAATTTATAGCATATAAACTTACGATATGAGTTATGGCCCGAGCATTCGGGTCTTCGAACTGGTTCAGATCGGTTCTTTGCAGGTCCGATTGTTTAAGGTGTTCAATATTTAGACCTAATTAAGTATTTGTAAAAAAAAAATTTGGATTTAGATTGATTTCTTTTGGGTCCGAATTGGTTCCTTTCAGATACAAGATTTGAATCTATAACTAAAGTAACTGTAATTTTTGGGTCCATAACAAATCTTTATCTGGTTGGGGTATTTAGGCTTCCTTTCGAATTGGTTCCTTTCGAATTGGTTCCTTTCAGATACAAGATTTGAATCTATAACTAAAGTAACTGTAATTTTTGGGTCCATAACAAATCTTTATCTGGTTGGGGTATTTAGGCTTCGAAAATGACTTGAAGTACCCAAAATCTAAGAAAAATTAGCTGAAATTTTCATACTATGAATTTTTTTCCGCAAAATAACCAAAATAAATTATTAATAATTGAAATTAAACCTTTTAAACTATACATTAGACACTGAAGTTTCATATTACTTGAAAATTTTATAAAAATAATAATGAAGATCTTACTAGCAAAAATACATTTCAATAAAATCATAAATTAAAATATAAAAAATAGAACACATAAAATCAAATTTTTGGGTATTCATATTTTTAAGTCGGAAATAAATCAATTTGTATCGGTTCGGGTCTATTTGAGTCGGGTTTTTTCAGATCCGGATCTATTTGGGTATATTCTTTTCAGTTCCAGTTCTTACGGGTAAAATAATTCTAGACCCAACTAGATCCATATAAATTATCAGTTTGGTTCTGAATCAGTTCCGATTTGGATTTTGAGGTCGTAACTAGATCCATATAAATTATCAGTTTGGTTCTGAATCAGTTCCGATTTGGATTTTGAGGTCCTGTTAAAATGCAAACGCCTAATTGTGATATTCTCTTTTGGTGCATCATTGAACAGTTTGGTCTATAAAGCTAAGAGAGTAGTTAAGTAACATACAATATAAACTTTATAAAATAACATTCAATAAAATAAAAAAGATAAATTAATAAATTGTTAAAAATATAAAATTCTAAATATAAATAAATTGATAAGATAACAAAATAATATTTAAGAAAAAAAATCAGGTAAATATATGATTTCATTAAAATTAAAACCAAAATTAAAATTAATAATTATCCTATTCAAAGCTTACATAATTTTATATAAGAATTAAACATACACAAAGTTACATAATTTTTTATAAACACTAAAATATTTTTTTTTGCTTATTGTTTCCAAATGAAAATATTGTTCTTTTTATTTTAATAGTTTAGTTATATTTTGGAAAATTACATTGAAAACACATTATATTCTAAATTTTTATAGAAAATATAAAAATAACATAAAAGAAAGAGATTTAATTGAATCTCTAAAAATTTAATCAATATAGCAAAAAAGAATAATAATTATTATATTAAATATAAAAATATTTTAAATATATAATAAGTTCAACACTATTAATGTATAACATTTACTGTATATGGTATTATAGTTGTAGTCTCAACTTAGTTGAATTATATTGTGTATTAAACTTGTAGTTGATGGGCTAAGAGCATGCGCATCAATTGAATTCTCATCCCATTTCTCCATATATAAATATATAAAAAATTATAAAATGATGAGAAAGAATCTAAAAAAAATGAGAGAAATCTGGTCGCAGATAGACTCACCAAATAATTATGATAACTTCTATGCCACATGTAACTTTTTAGTTGGTTTAAAATTTAAAAATCAAATAAAAAATAAATGTATAACTCATGTGCTGATTTATTAGCTAGGAAGTCAATTATTTCTGAGAATCTATGGAGTGTGTTCCATACCTGTCCGAGATTTTTACTCTCCAATGTAATAACAGATCAATCAATATAATTCATTTTCTGTCGGAAAAAAAAAACTGCTGCTGATGCTCTAAAAGATTTATAATATTTATTCAGAATAAAATAATGCTTGTTAGTCAAATTTAAATATGCTTGTAGATATTAAAAGACGCCATTGATATTAGACTTTTACTTCTTTTTTTCAAATTTTGTTTGTCAATGTTCGATATATTTTACTTTGCATATATTATCTGATATTATATACTTAAACCATGAAACATCAGATCAAAGTATTTTTGATTTGTCCGATCGAACACTGGAGGAAATTATACGTAAATTGACTCATCCAAAAAGTGGTGGATCAAGCATATTATCAAACAAGCCACCATGTAAATTTGGTAGTTTATATTCCATACGAAAACATACAGATTTAGTCTGTAAAACTCGGCTATTTAATAACTCCCCAAAAAGAATCCACTAGAGCATTATTTGATTGCGTTCTTTGATTAGATTATCATACTTTTTAACTTTGATGAGATATGATGCGTCTGGTCATTCGTAAACCTCTTAGGGCATCCACATCAATGAACCCCCTCTTGGGGTTCATTGAATCATTTTTTATTATTAAAAATTTTATGTTTTCTTTTTGATTTTTCTTTTTTAAAAAAAAAACAAAAAAAAAAATCTAGACCAATCCCGAGCCGCCACGTGTTGAACCTCAGGAGAGAGGGGTTCACCGCGGTGAACTTTAGAAGAGAGGGGTTCATAGATTTTTATTATTTTATTATTTTTTTTCTTGATTTCCGTGTGAACTCCCCCCATGAACCTTCAATGGGGGTGCTCTTACGTGACATGGAAACACGAATTTTTATGTTTATTTTGCTTTATGAATTATGACTTTCAATTTAGGATGATCTTTGTTTTATTAAAAGAACAAAAATCTTTGACTGATGTAACGATTTTAGGAATTTGTATCATTAATATGCATTTAAGAGAAAAATCACCTCGGACAATTAGGTAGTTATTCTTTATATGTTTGGCTTACGATCAATAGCAACGATGAACTTTTCAAATTCGGCATCTTGAAGATGACTACAAGTCTACGAGTGATAGTAATAGTTTCTTTTTTTCCAACAACTATTCATTAGATGTGGTTGTGATTCGAATGATGTCGTGTAATAGACTCCTTAGATTTTCTTATTTGTAGACCTTCCTCGTTATTTCCAATTAAAATATTTGAAAAAAAAAGTAAAAAAGAAACCAATTGAAGTGCATAAATAGAGAGACCCAAAAAGAAAAATGCCAAATGAATCAATCTCATAAAGAAAAGTAAAGGGTAGGGGTCCACTATAGATGTGCTCACATACATGCTCCACGAACTTCTGTTCCTTTTTTATTTTAAATTTTATTTTTAAAATATATTCGAATGAATCATTTTATACATCTTATCTATGAGACTATGACCATTGTCACACATACTTTTTTACATTTTTTTAGTTACATTTCTCCTCTTTTGCGCCTATAAATAGCAACCCTCTCTCATTCTCTCAATTACTCTCACATCAAAACAATCAACAATACACACAACTTGCTACTTCAAACAAACACTTTCAAAGAAGAGAGATGGAGAAGAACATTAAGTTTCCAGTTGTAGACTTGTCCAAGCTCATTGGTGAAGAGAGATACCAAACCATGGCTTTAATCAACGAGGCTTGTGAGAATTGGGGCTTCTTTGAGGTACAAACATGAATGCACTTATAATATATATGATAATATATATTAATATTAGCTTTTTGAGTTTGTGTACTTTAATGGTAATGTCGATCTTTCTGCTTGGTGGTTAATTTGATTTTTTTCAGATAGTGAACCATGGTTTACCACATGATTTGATGGACAACGTCGAGAAGATGACAAAGGAACACTACAAGAAATCAATGGAACAAAAGTTCAACGACATGCTCAAGTCCAAAGGGTTGGAAAATCTTGAGAGAGAAGTTGAGGATGTCGATTGGGAAAGCACTTTCTACCTTCGTCATCTCCCTCAGTCCAATCTCTACGACATTCCTGATATGTCTGATGAATACCGGTACATATATATATATACTTTTCTTTATAAAATCAACTTTAAATCATATGTTATGGTAACCAAAGGGCCACTCTGCCTCTTTTACCTATATTAGAAAGGTTCTTGTGATATTTTATTTCTATACAAAGTAACTATTCTTTGTTAGTTGGTTAAAACAGTTTAGTGAAATTATTTAACTTAAGATCCTCTAATCCTTTAAGTAATGAAAATAAAGTTGAGAAAAAACGTCTAGAAACTTAACACACTTTTTTGAAAGAGGCACACTGAAATGCTTTTATTTTGCAGGACGGCAATGAAAGATTTTGGGAAGAGATTGGAGAATCTTGCAGAGGATTTGTTGGATCTGTTGTGTGAGAATCTAGGGTTAGAGAAAGGGTACTTGAAGAAAGTGTTTCATGGAACAAAAGGTCCAACCTTTGGGACTAAAGTGAGCAATTATCCATCTTGTCCTAAACCAGAGATGATCAAAGGTCTTAGGGCCCACACTGATGCAGGAGGCATCATCTTGTTGTTTCAAGACGACAAGGTCAGTGGTCTCCAGCTTCTTAAAGACGGTGACTGGATCGATGTTCCTCCACTCAACCACTCCATTGTCATCAATCTTGGTGACCAACTTGAGGTATGAATGTGTTCACACCACATTTAAAATAAAATAAAATAAAAATTTGTCTACGAACCCAATGTTCGGTATTGAGTATTGGGTTGATGAAACCGGAGAAAACGATTAGTAAATGTTAGATAGCAACGTTTCCAACCTCAATTGGCTTTGGGACATTTTGAGTTTGTAAATGTTTATAGCTAAACTGAAATAAATGGTGGAAAGATCTTAGTCTATAAATGATAAACCAAGTTTATATCTTCCTAATCCTATTGAGTGCAGGTGAAATTGGGTTTTTGGTTTAGTTCCGGTTTAGTAAAATTGGGAGATATTGTTACTTGATTAAAACCGAACTAAAGTTGAACAGAGACATTAATTTGCATTCTCAAATGGTTTCTTTGGAATTGGTTAAGGTTTAACCGGAAAATATTTTGCTCATTGAATGTAGGTGATAACCAACGGGAGGTACAAGAGTGTGATGCACCGTGTGGTGACTCAGAAAGAAGGAAACAGAATGTCCATTGCATCTTTCTACAACCCGGGAAGCGATGCTGAGATCTCTCCAGCTTCGTCCCTTGCCTGCAAAGAAACCGAGTACCCGAGCTTTGTCTTTGATGACTACATGAAGCTCTATGCCGGGGTTAAGTTTCAGCCTAAGGAGCCACGATTCGAGGCAATGAAGAATGCTACTGCGGTTACAGAACTGAACCCAACAGCAGCCGTAGAGACTTTCTGAAAACAAAGTTGAGTGTGAGCGAAAGCAAAGAAACAAAGATGGGTTTTGTGTTATGTTTACGTCAATAAGTTAAGGCTGATATTAGTGTTTATATAATTAAGATGTCTGGTTTCATTTGTTGGTTAATCTTGTGTTTAAAGTGTGGCGTGTTTATCTATGTTTATGGAAGGTGATAATAATAAATCAGAGTATGATAACTCTTCTAATAAGTATTGGACAATATCTCCAAACAAGTATCTGTCAAATTCTATATTAATATTATATTTATAGTTTTGTTGAAAAATAATTTGAACCATTCAAATAAGGACATTTGGCTTGATCCCTTCCTAAAAACATTTGTTCAGAGATACTTCACTTCTTTTGTTTTTGTAATCCTTGGTATTAGTGAGATATTTGTTTTGATACTAACAGTGAAACTGCTCTAAAAGATCTAATGTGTTTATCATCAAATAAAGTATGAAGTTGTCTGCTATATAAATCAGAATCTTAACATCAATAGAGCTAAAGAAGACTTTGCCCTCACAACAGAAACTAAAACCACAAAGGTTGATAAGAAATTCGGGTTCAAAAACCCGCCAGTGGACTTCACCTTGTGGCCATACAGATATGAACATATCTTATATTCTGTTTGAATATCCGGAAGAAAGTCTATCTGTGGACCACAACATCTGTTTAGAGATTAACTAGGTAGTAATCCGCGCTATGCGTGGAATGAAATGGTTTATTAGATTATTCATTGTTTGTTATATAACTTTTTTAGAGATGTACATTTATATATATATATTCGTTCAGATTCAGTTGATCTATTCATATTTCAGATTTTTAGCGTTAAGATTTTTAATTACATTCGGATATTTACAAATTTTTATTTAGATTTGGTTCAAATCATTGCGACTTCGATTCAGATTCGAGTCAGATACCCATTTTAATTATGCATTTTTAACAAAAATTCAAATATACTAAAATCCTCAAAATTTGAAATAAAATAATATAAAACATAAAAATGAATAATGTAAGACTAAATATTTAAATTTAGATAAAGTAGTTGAATTTAAATATTTGGATGAAAAATAAATATTTTCAGTATTTTGAATATTTTTTGTTATTTTTAGATATATATATATATATATATATATATTTGTGAATATATTGATAATTTAAATATTACATATTTTTAAATATATAATAGTTTTTGGTATCCAAAATATTTTAATTTGGATTAATTAGGATATGTTTATTTGGATATTAAATGTTTAGATCTATCTAAGTACTTAATCAATTTTAGTTTTTTTTTTAATATTACTTTGAAATCTAGTTCAGTTTGGTTTTACATATCCAAATAGCAGATCCAAATATTTTGCTCATACTTATCCTTTTCTACTAATATAAAGCGAATAAAATAAATTTAAAACAAATATTTTTTGTCTTATTTAACATACTTAATTCTTGGACTATACTTTAATAATACAAATAAAAAGGTTGGCCATTATGTCAATATTTTTAGGCATATTGTAAAATTGAAGTAGTCTATAACAATTAATGTGTATTTCTTGTAAAAAGTTCTTGGTAAATATAATAAAACACAACAATTGAGTGAAAAATATTACATATGCGTGAAAATAATATGATCTTTACATTCGGCACGAAATTTATATTTTTCAAATCGATTTCACGAATCTTCTTTTTTAGGCTTTTCTGATTTCTGATTTTTTTCTAGTAATTTGATCATGTTTCTAGTTTTTTTGTTAAATGTAGAAAATTTTGTAATGAAAAATAATATTTGACTGAATTAAAGATCCGATTTTGTGTGTGTAGTAATTTTTACCACAATTTTCTTAATTCATAACTAATCACAAATATTATTAAAGTTTTATACATAAGCCTATGGCTAAATTCAGCAATATATGAAACTTTCAATTTTAAAAAACATTCGCATTTCAGTATTTTAGTTTATGCGAATTTTAATGATTTTGTAATTTTTTTCTTTCAAAATGATATTATTCTGTAATTGTACAGAGATAATTTCAATTCCATAATACAAAGGTTAAAAACAATTGAAACTAAAAATAAGCTCATTAAAAAGTTTAGTATAAATACATTAAATTTTTGGGGTTAAATATTAAAATGTGAACACATTTATTGTCAAATGATTGTTATACCAACACATCAACATACTCAAATTAAAATCAATATAAGGCTGCCACGTGTCTAATGTAGTGTGAAAGCATTAAATGAAAATTTTTCTCTTTTAATATATAGAAGATCTTGACTTCTATGAGATATCCCAAAGTTAAAATAATAACTAGATTTGGATGTTATTCATAAACTTAAAATTGTCAGTAAAAGAAAATATATTTAATGTTATCCCTTTTGATCACAACCTTGTATAAAATATTTGAGGCATTGTAATATTTGAATAAGTTTTTATAATTTGGTTGATTTGTTTACTTTTTTTATGAAAAGACACATTTTTATAGAAATTGTTGATTACATGTTTAGAAATTTTTGAAGGAGTTCTTTTTCAGTTATTTTAAAAATATTAAGTAATATGAAATATAGTTGATATTTATTACTCTCTCTCTCTCTGTATCAATATAATCCATGTTTTAGAAAAATATTTTTTTTTCTAAAAGATATATATTTCACATTTTCAATGCACATAATAAAAGTAAATTGTAAAATTTTATGACATTGATTGTCTTAACTAAATTTTGATTGGGTAATATTATAGAAAATAGCTAATTACAAAGACAATACTACATTATTTTTTGGTCAAAACAAAACCAATACATTTATTAACATGTTTTCTTAATATATGTGAAAATTCTAAAACATGTATTTTATTGATACAGAGGGAGTAAATATTTAAATAAAATATACATGTATTTTTGTGAAATTTATTTCTTCTTGCAACACATTACTAAAGTAATAAATTAAGTTAATATTTGAAGTGATACGAATGTATTTCATTTGCCAAACCAATACCCAGTCTGCCATACCAATCGTACAGGAGGAAAAAAATCAAATATATGATTTAGTTAGATCTTATTAATGAATTTGGTAGATTATGTATTAAAAGAAATATCACACACAATAAATATTAGGTAAGAAATATCACACACAATAAATATTAGGTACAACAGAATATTTATATTTTAATAAACTTGATGAATATATCCAAATTTAAATGACAACCTTTAAACAGTAGATAAAAAATAGGATCATAAATTAATAGATTAAACTAGATTCTGACCCGCCCTTTTAAAGGGCGGATATATTTTTCTTTAACTTTTTTTTTTTAAAATTACTTTTTTATATTTGTATTTTTTTTTTGTAATCATATTTTGATTTTCTTTATAATTGTATTTGTATACAAATCTTAATCAAAATCTATTTTATAAAATAATAGCAATTTGAAAACCCATAGAAATATGTACTGCAACAATTCGAAGTCCAAGTTTTATCATTCTCCGACCACAAACTGTTTGTAAAACCGAATCGGACCGGCCGATCGAAATGGTCCAACTGTAACCCGTTAAGGAGGTTAAATCTGATTAGGTTTAAAATTTAGATTTGAGAAAATTCGGTAAAATTGGCAAAAATCCAATAAAACCGGTGATCCATGTCAACTAAAAATCTGATTCTCAAAATTAATATAATTAATGTGTTTTCAATTATTATTAAAATTTAATTTTAATAAGAAAGACAAAAACATTTTAAAATATGTGTTTGTATAGTTAATATGACTGATGACGTCTATATTTTTTATCTCGTTTAGATAAGGTTGACATTAACCTTATGTTTTTTGAAATAAGGTTGACATAATTATAAGGAAGTAAATATAAAAGAATTAAGCCCACATTTTTTAAAGGATTAGTATAGAATTAATTGGCAAAATTAAAAGATACAATATAATTATATGTAGAGAGATTTTAGGTTATTCTGGTAGTCTTTTTTTTTTCATTTCCTAAACTATCCTCCTAGAGTTTTAGTTTTTAAAGTAAATCTGATGGCACAAAAAGTAATATACCATGGAAGAATAAGGGTAATTTCATAAAAGGGTTTCTGTTTTAATAGTATTGATAATAAAAAAGCAGAAATTAAAACAAAATCAAAGATTGTTTGAATATTTACAAACACAAACACAAGTTCCCTCGAAATTTATCACTTTTGAGGTGAAAACTCATTCGTCAGAATCATCATATCCAATAGTGGTAGGCATTTGGATATTCGTTCGGGTTCAGATCGTGTATTTCGAGTTTTCAAGTATTTTGGTATTGAGGTCTAGTATCCGTTCGGGTATTTTTTAACATCGGATCGGATTCGGAGATTTCTAGTTTGAGTTCGATTATCTCGGATCGGGTTTTGGGTATTTAGATATTGAAAGAAAAAAAATTCTTCATTTCTTAAGTTTCATGTATTTAAAATTTAATTATTATCTTACCTATTTAAAAATGTTTGATAGGTTGTATAATTAATAAGTTTGAAAATAAATGATTGAAATTAGAAAATTATTATTCTGGTTGTTATTTTAAAGTTTTGGATTCATAGATTCATAGGTCAGACGAACAATCAAAGTTTACAAATGAATTTGAGAGGTCATAAATACCATATTCCATGGTATAGGTTTTTGTCATTTCTTTATTGGATCTGTTATTCAAAAACATAACATATTTTAGCCCACTTTAATAATATGATTACAAATTATTATTATATTGGGCTGAAAAATTCTAGGCCCATCACTGGAACGAACGGAGTAAATTTTGTTTTTCTTTTGAACAACTACATACTACAAGCTTTTACAAGTTTCTGCAGCTAAGACGTGGTTTCGTCAGGGATCCCCACGTGTAAGAATCCACTTGGTAAACATATTTTATCTGAATCTAAATAATTTAGTACGAAAAGGTAGCGAATTGGATCACTCACGGATTGTTCACGAATGGTTGTCGCTAAGTACAACAAAACTACACCTTTTGCGCAGTTGCTTCCATTCACATTACCCAACTAATTTCAAAATCAAAGTTTCCCAGTTTATGAGTAGAGTTTTTTAACGCTTTAAAATCCTGCATAACTCGTTTTGGTTCCACGTAATGAATAAACTAAAGTTAAAACAAGATAGTTTTATCAAGAGAAATTGCAACGTACACACAAGACTTATTGCATAATTAGCTAGATACACATATGGGCATATCTTCGTTGGTAACGAATAATTTTGGACCAATATACCCCTACTAGGTAGACTGTTTACATGCAACCTAAATAACATTTTTAATTATCTAATTTCACACACCAAAATATGTATGTCCGACAAGTTGTGTTATTTTAATG